CATTTTGTCTTGGAAATGGGGTATGAACAGGCAAAAATTTTAAAGCCAAGGGTGATGGATATTGAGTGGCAGACAGAGAGAGGTCACTGAGTTACCTGTCTTCAGAAGGCTCTAGATATGTAGTTTCCCTGGCCGCTTATCTGTCCCAGTTGGAGATTCCTAGTCACAGGAAGGCATTTTCCCTTACCAGATGCCAAGCACTCCCTAGTGTGGTTTTGGATGGGTGATATAAAAAGGCCCCCAAGGCAGATAGGCTACCCAGTGGCTCAGGGGAGATTGAAACTATAGAACACATATTACTTCACTGTCCTTTTTATCAAGTTTGTCCTTCCCTTACTCAGTAGGTATCCTGGTCGACCAGACTCCTAGATGAAAACCCACTGGTCTCAGCACTTAGCACGAAGTTTTGTGCAACAGTTTGTAAAATCCGCCAGAGATATATATGCATATTGAAGAATTTTAATAATAATTTTACTTATTGTATGCATTTATTATAGGTCGGAGTCAAGTTATCAACTGTGGCTGCGAACCTTGTTATGACTTGTTATGATTCGTGCTGGTCAGTGACAGTTTTAATAAAGATTGATTGATAAACCTAGTTGCTGTCTTAGCTGAGAGGAGATCTAGACTGAAGAAAGGCCTAAGAATAGCATTCTGCAAATAGACAAGGAAAACCCCTTTAGAAAGAAGGTATCTTCTTTGTACACCAGACTGCTATATTCCAACATTATTTACTTCTTTTATATCCCAGAATTTCTCCACAATGGGGATTCAGATCAGCTCACATCATTCTCCTCTCCTCCATTTTGTCCTCACAGCAAACCTGTGAGGTAGGCTAGGCTGAGAATGTGTTACTGGCCAAGTGTCACCCAGGTATCTTCTATAGAGGAGTGGAGATTTGATTCTGGGTCTCCCAGATCCTAGTTTGAAAGTGTAACCACTACACTATCCTGGCTCTTGTGGAGTGGCTGCTGTTGAACAGTAGCCAGCAGCTGGGCCTGAGTGAGTCATGCAAGTGGGGATGGTTTCAAGTTGCCAGGTGGCTGCTACCAGGCCTGGCCTCAATGTGTCCTCTCCTCAGAGACCAAAACAACCCTGCTAAAAGGCCCATTCATCTTCCCCTTCCTTTTACTGACAGAAACCAAGGTTTGAAGGCTGGCAATACTGTTGTGGTTGCATACCAACCCCCACAATGGTCACTGAGAGGGTGTTTCCTAAAGCCACACATGCTGCTATTATTTTGGAGTTTTTAAACTCCCCCCCCCCCTAAAATTTCTCTGCAAACCTAGGGTTTTTTTCAAGGTTGTAGAGAGATTTGTCTGGTCTGTCCCTTTTATTTTATTAATAAGCTCCTCTAACCAAAGGTCTTGAGCACAAAACCAGTACAATAGAATAAAAAAAACACATAACAGGATAAAACATTACAATACATGTATACAATTTCCCCATAAAACATGACCAATTAAAACCCATCTTAATAGCGCTTTAGGGAAATCACTATTGCCAAATATTTGGCAACAGATCAGGTTATTTCTGGATCTAAATCTGTTAACAAAGAGATCACTGAAGATTCAACAGGAAGCTGATATGTGACCAGGATAGGCATAATCCAAAAATCTCTACATACAGTCCATTGGTTGCAAAATGTCATGAGATGGTCTATAATCTCTGTTACTCCAGACGTGCAGCTACAGGAGCAATCTGAAAATGGAGTTTTAGCAGAACGCCCTCTCAGTTCTGCAGTCACCAAAACAAGCGTGAAAAGCATGTCTTTAACTAAGGATTGTAAAGAGGTTTATATATCAGGGGATCTTATCTGTCCATGGCTCCAATATTGTATTTGTGGCCACAGATTTGGCCATGTTGAGAATTAGATATATTGATAGGATGTACTTCTGATTCCTGCAGCACAGTTGTGTCAGGTTTTCCAGGCTCATATGCTACACGGGTATTCCACCACTTCTGTGTTCTCTGACACCATAGACAGTGGCAGTTGCGGGAGCTATGCAGGTAGTCAGCTGAATTTGCTAAATTGTTATGGGAAATCTCCGAGGAAATTATGCACCTGGGTTTTCAAGCATGGCTGTCGGACTGCAGGTTTAGAATCTTGTATATAAAAAGGGCTTCCACTGAGTAATTCCCCAGCTGAATATAATAGTTGGACCTTTGCATGAAAATTTTTTAACCTGAGCAACAGATCTAAAACAGGAGGCTTGCTGGGGGGGGGGGGGGGGGGGTTGTTCCTCCCCCGATTTCCTTCTGTATTGCCAGGGGTGCTTGTGGGCCTTTATGAATTCTTCCGCACTGGCTAGTTACTTGTCGCTGCTGCTACCTGTTGCTGAGTTATATAGCCTGTTGTTCAGATTTGTCTTTTAATTCTGAAATCCTGTTTTCGGCCCCCTTGAATCTCAGTGCAAAAAGGTGGGCCATCAATAATGCAACTGAAATAAAATGACAGTTCTTGCTGATTATTGTATGACGGTGTTTTGGTCTGTGGCAGTGAAAGGAAGCAGGAATCTCGGGGCGCCTTCGTCCCCAACAGGTTTTTATTCTAGCACAGGCTTTCGAGCCCACTTTGGTTTAATTATAATAGATCCAGATCTTGCTATGTAACCTAGCATCTTTGGTTAGAGAAGCTTATAGTAGAATATATTTTATTAACTGTACCTTTTGTATACAAAGTTATATATATGTTAAGGAAAAGCATTATTAGAGGTCTCTGGGGATAGAATTAGGATGCAACAAGAATGGAATGCACATTCAAGAAGCTGCAAAGACACCAAGAGCAAAGTTGAATGTGAATCACAACCCTTATCACCCAGCTCCCCAAAAACAAGGGAAAGTGGGACAAGCTTCGCTAAGGTCAGAAAGGATCTCCGTGTTCCCTAATGTTCCCATTGCTCTGAAGAGCAGACAATCCCTGACAACGCACAAGGGACCAATAGTAAGGTTTTAAGGTCAAATGATGCTTGTATGATGTTAACTACTTGGTGCCAATTAGAGATTCTTTAATGTGTAAACTATCTGTGGTGTCATTTGGGGTAGAAGACCTCCTGCCCTTCCTGGTCATGGCAGAACGCAGCTTTGGAATGGCTGAGGAGGTGCCAAAGGCATCCTGCCCCCTGTCTTCCCTGCTTCCAATGCATTAAACAGCTATTCATCTAACTGGTTGGACTCCCAACTGTGTGTTTCCAGTTCGGCAATGGGAGCAGGCAGGCACGGATTCATGTGTCATCACCAGACCTCTCTGGCTGGGCCTGCTCTGGAGGGAAAAGGAGCTTGTTATTTGTAGCCCTCCCCGTCTCCCAGAGAGTGGAGGTGGGTGGCTGGGCTGTGTTATCCAACCGGCAGAAGCCGAGGGGCCCTGCAGGGACTGGGCCCCCATCAATTCTATCTTTTTGCTGAGGCACTGCAGTTTTCTCCTCGACAGACAGCCTGTCATATATAACCTCCTCCATTCATAAGAGAATTAACTGCTTCCGTATTGCAGTGAAGCCATCTGTCTCATATTAAAACATGTATCCATAAATTATATATTTTGAATAAATAATAACAATTTTATTCACTTCAACGTATTGCAGAATTGAGCCATTCTATCCCCCCCAAGTGCTTTCCTGAAGAGTTCTACTCAGGCAATGAATGTATATATATATATTTAAAAACAACAGGGAGTGGGCTTCTTCTTCAGGAGACCCTCCAAATGGATACCGGGCTAGGGACGGCGGCCTCGGACCTCCCGTACGCGGGTCAGGCCGTCAGCTGTCGTGG